GGGGGGGGGGGGGGGGGGGGGGGGGGGAGGAGGCTGGAGCAGGGGAGCTGGGATGACCCGCCCCTGGGGGGGGGGTACTGAGGATGCCAGGAATGGGGTGTTGAAAGCAGGAAGGAGCACACACGAGGATCCCGAGCGTCACCAAGGACATCCTGCTGGGGTCAGAGGCGCCCAGCGCTGAGACGAGTAGAATGGAATTGACGCGTACGGAAAATAAGGGACCCGGGGCACCTGGGTGGCCGGTCATTTAAGTCTCGGATCCTTGACTTCTGTTCGTCATGATCTCTTGGCTGGAGGGTTTGAGCCCCACGTCAGGCTCTGTGCTGACATCACAGAGCCTGCTTGGGATTCTCTTTCTCCCCCGCCCCCTAAATAAATAAACGGAAAGGAAAGGAGGAAAGGAAAGGGGGGGAGGGGCGGGAAGGGAAGGACATGACAGGCAGATGACGAGTGACGCACCCAGAGATGGACTCAGGCCGCGCAGCCTCCCAGCCTCCTGAGCTGGAATTAGTGCGCTTCCTGAGCAAACACAGATCCGAACGATCGCTGCTTGGCTCAGCCGCCTCCCTGGTATTTCCTTTCCTGGCTCCTCTTTCAACTTGGTCTTCCGGCCGAGGGGGGTGCACGGCGGGTCCTGCCCCCTGCCTCAGGCACCACTGCCCATCTCCCCGCAGCGGAACACAGAGCCTGGACCGTGTCTCTGGCCTGGGAAGTGGTGGGGACTCAGCGGACCCTCTGAGGGGCCGGGGAGAAGGGTGATTCCGAGTGAAGATCTTGGTTCCGTCCCTGCCCTTCCTGAAGCTGCTCTCAGGCTCAGTCACCCAGCCTTGTCCACTCGGGGCAAGAACTCTGTGAGCTCGTCATCAAAGCGCTTATTCTACGGCCTGGCGCCTAATCAGGGCTTTGCAAGTGTTGGAGGCTCTGTCGTTACATCCGAGCCCTTCAGCTGGCCCTGCTCTGCTTCTGTTCTAGAACCCTACCTCGGGGCGGTGACTTTGGAAGCTGGAAACCCAAATACATCAGCTCACCTCCCTCCCGCCCGGCTCACAGGTGCCTCTTCCCTCCGCTTCCCTTCTCTCTGGAGAGAAGCCTGGGGAGAAAAGAGGAGTGACCGCTGACAGTTTTGGGCTCCGTTTCAGGGGTGAAGAAAATGTTCTAGAATCAGGTAGTGGCGGTGGTTGCATAAATTTCTGACTATTCTAAAAACCACTGAATTGTATACGTTACAAAGGATGAATTGGATAGTGTAAGAATTCTTTTTTTTTTTTTAAAAAGAGCAAATTAAGAACTTAGGCCATCTCAGTTTTTATTCTCCAGTGAGATCACAGTAATTTGCACAGAGACCCTGGCCTTGGCGTTATGAGTGGGGAGTGCTGAGTGCTCCCTCCCTGCCTCGGCTTCTGGCAGATCGGTCTCCCCCTTCCCTTGGTCTTGGGAGGCAAAATCTAAATAGAAGCTTACGACAAGTATGTGAAGTAAAAGAAATTTCTAGGGGAAAAAGTGCACCAGATGATGCACCTCGAATCCAGTCCTGCCTGAGCGCGGCTCTACGCACCAGTCTCTCCTCTCCCTTAACGATGAGACTTTCATGGTGAGGAAAATGATGATTCTCCAGGCTCCCAGCTGTCAGCACAGAGCCCGATGCGGGGCTTGAACCCACGAACCGTGAGATCATGACCTGAGCTGAAGTCAGAAGCTTCACTGACCGAGCCGCCCAGGCGCCCGGGATGAACTGTGCTTCTAATCTAGTTGATTTTCCTCCTTCTCTTTCCAAGGTCTGGCTAATCACAGAGAAACCCCAGAGTTTGTGAGGAGCTGAGAAACACATAAATCAGTCCCTAATTCAAGAGTTAGGGGGAAAGGAGACAGAAAGAGGGGAGACAGGGAGAAAGAGGGGGGAAGGAGGGAGGGAAAGGGGGAGAGAGAGATAGGAAAGGAAGGAGGGAGGGAGAGAGAGGGCTAGGAAGAGAGACAGAGAGCGAGAGAGAGGAGGAGGAAGCAAACGCGGCCGGCTGAGTAAGCATCCCCAGGACCATGCTGAGGCCCAGAGGTGGCTGGGCCTTGGCCGTGAGCTCGGTGTGGCCTCGCTGGGAGGCGGTTTCTCCCCCTTCCCCCCCCCCCCATTCTCTGAGCCGGGGCTGGAGGAGGCTGTGAGCAGTGACGTTGGCAGGAAGAGAGGGGGCAGCTTTTGTAGGCGGGGAATGGCAGAGACGGTAAAGGCAAAAGTCACCTTCCGCCATCTGACCACAGAATGATACTATTCATGAAATACCCATCCGGGCGTGTGTGCGTGTGTCGAGGCTGATGTGACAGCAAGCAGCCTTAAGAGAAGCAGAAGGGAGCCTGGTTAGAGGCACGTGGCAAAGAAAACACACGATCCTCCTAAATCGCAACTGTGAACTTTGGAGAAAGAGGGTCTGCGAGCGACGGGGCACGGAAATGCATGTGCCTGACACACAGCCTCCATTTTCTCCCCGCTCGCATGGTCCACACACCAGCTCGCTGCCCTTAATCATTGGCAAATTCAACTTAATGATTCCCAACACTTAATTTTTTTTTTCTTAACAACACATGGATGCACCAACTACATTTAAAATGCTTCCAATGTCTGAAAATCTGTCCAAGGCAAATCTAATCAGAACTGACTCGAAATTATTTAACTGCGTGGAAGTAGATGGGAAATACAGCATTTTCCACGAAGGTGAAGAGGTTATAGTAAGGAGAAAAAGACGTGCAAGAGATTGCGCGTATTTGCCCAGAAACCCGAAATAAGGTGTTTTTCTTCTCCAACCTAAAATCAAAGCTCCTAGCTCCAAGGACGGAGAGGAAAGAGAATACTTATTAAGCTGGACACACTACCGATGCTTCAAATGAGCTCTTGGGGTGTGTTATAACTGTTATATCTGAAATAAACTGAACACGGAAAACTAAAAGTTATGTTTGCAAAGAGGGAAGGGGGGCACCTGGGTGGCTCGATCGGCTGAACGTCCGGCTTCGGCTCAGGTCTGATCTCACCATTTGTGGGTTCGAGCCCCACGTCGGGCTCTGTGCTGACAGCTCGGAGCCTGGAGCTGCTTCAGATTCTGCGTCTCTCTATCCTGCTCATACTCTGTGTGTGTCTCTCTCTCTCTCAAAAATGAATAAGCATTAAAAAGTAAATAAAATAAAATAAGTTTAAAAAAATAAAAAGAGGGAAGGGGAAAAGGAGGAGGGAGAGAAAGGGAAGGAGAGGGAGTGAGGCAGGAGAGACAGAGGGAGGAATGGAGGCCATCAGGGTCCCCGTTTCTGGGGATAATCCAGGGGAAAACCCTCTCTTTACTGCTGCTGATCAATGTCAGAGGGAAGCCTCCTATATATATATACATACAAATAGCTCTCCATTTGGAAAGGAGCCTGAAGCCTTTCATCAGCCCATCCTATGTTATTTTATTTTATTTATTTATTTAAATATCCTTATTTATTTCTAGGAGAGAGAGAGAGACAGCGTGAGGAGGGGAGGGTCAGAGAGAGAGGGAGTCACAGACTGAAACAGGCTCCAGGCTCTGAGCTGGCAGTCAGCACAGAGCCCGATGCGGGGCTCGAACCCACGAACCGCGAGATCATGACCTAAGCGAAAGTCGGACGTCCAACCGACTAAGCCACCCAGGCGCCCCTATCCTATGTTATTTTAAAACTTGCTGTTCACACAGAACAAGGAGACATCAAGTGGACAGGACCTATCAGATGCTTCTAGAAATCCAAAGTCGGCCCGCTTCTGGGGCAGGCGCGTTATGTGAATGGAAAGGGCTACAGCTGGGCGTTAAATACCAGAAACAGTCTTCTGCACAGAGAAGGGGCACGGGGGTGCGCGCCCCGGGCTCAGGAGCTGGTCCAGGGGCAGGGGTGACCTATCTGGAGGAGACAGAGCAAGTCTGAGGGCTGACAGCAGGGGCACCGAGGACACGCAGGGGAATGGGTGGCTAAAGGCGACAGGAAACAACAAAGATCTTTTGGTCTCAAGAACGATAAGATGTCGCTAACAATTTAATCTGTGACAATAAGAGGCTAATTCCAGGCCAAGCTCACTCCTTATCAACCACACCAATTTCTCAGACACATGTCTTCCGTTCTTTATCTGAAACGTAAAGGGAAAGGTCTGGAAAAATCTCAATCCTAAGGGGTTCAGAGAGACCTTCCGAGAACCTGAGAAATGATTCAGTTCGCTGGAGAAAGGGAAAGGGCGGCAGGAGCTCCACAGGTAAGAATAACTGAGTTGATTGAAATGAGACTTTCTACAAAGACTATTTTTTTCATGTACTTAATATTAAAGGACTTGAGGGGCGCCTGGGTGGCTTAGTCGGTTAAGCGTCCGGCTTTTGCGTGGGTCATGATCTCGCGGTTCGTGGGTTCGGGCCCCGCGTCGGGCTCTGTGCTGACAGCTCAGAGCCTGAAGCCTGTTTCAGTCTGTGACTCCCTCTCTCTCTGACCCTCCCCTGCTCACGCTGTCTCTCTCTCTCTCTCTCTCCTAGAAATAAATAAAAATATTTAAAAATTTTTTAAAAAAATAAAAAAAATAAAGGACTTGGGAAGATTTTTACAGTTTAAATACGCAGAAAAATTACAGAGGTGAACACAGGCAAGAGAAAGCTCTTCCTAGACAGTAAAAGCACAAGGACGCCCTAGCGGCGTTTTCGGCGTTCTCCCAAGCTAGACAAGGTGGTTCATGTTCCGCACTGTGCGTTTCAAGATATCAGGGACCGAAGCATTTTGGACGAGGACAAAATCCTGAGAGAAGTCCCACTGGCCTCGACTTTTCTCTCCCAGCAGAATTTCTCCGAAGGGCCACACAGGAGCCCTGCTGAAACTGAGCACACGAAGCTGCTTTCTGACTTCTGTGCTTGCCGACCTTGTGAGCCCAAGGTCCCATGAGCATCGCCTGAATGTTGGGAGCCAGTCTGGCCAAGCTGGGAGCGAAGAGACTGTCTTTCAAAATATCTGCATCTCCTCTACGTAAGTGAAACCTCCCGCCATTACCTTGACAGCCACTTTTTAGCGGGGCTGCATTGAACAGAATCCAAGGAATGCCACCGGAGACCCGTTTCTGTTCATCTCTCGTTCGTGGCTACGAGAAAACAGAAGATCTCTTCTCTTTTCTCACACAGCATGTTGTGGCTTCGGTAACTATTCCTGCAGTGGGTTCTAATGACACCACAAACATAACACGATCTCAAATGAACCCTCAGCACAAACCCACACGAGGAAGCAGAGGTAGTGACGGGCAGGGAGATTAAACTTGCCCTTTCGCTCCCGATCTTCAGCTAAGTCCAAAATTTCCGGGCAAGTTTGCTATACTTAAGAGGAAACCTCCGGCTTCCAAATAAAGGTGACTTTCACCTTATCTGAACCGAGGCGGAGCTCAGGTCTGCTCCAAGATACACAGTGGGTCACAAAAATAATATTATCTTCAGACTCATTTCCCTAACGCATAGGGAATGCCCCACTTCTGGTAATTTCCCAGACTGTCTCCACTGAGAATGCACACAAGGTGGCTTCCCCTCTACTTCGCTAGCCTCGGGGAATTAATCACCTTGGCAGGGGGAAAGCCTTTTGAGATTGTCCTTCCCGTGAGCATCTGAGTCCGCTCACTGCCTCCGGGCGAAGAATGGCAGCCCCTTCCATATTCAGGGGGTCTCACCTCCCTCACCAAGCCCGGACAGCCCAGGCAGGGCCGCAGATCAACTCACCTGCCGTTCTTGGTCACGATCATTTCGTTAGTGACTTCCTTGAATCTCTGCCAGAGAGGCGCGTCCTCCAGGATGATCTGAAGTTGCTTCTCCGTAGGGTCACCCTTCTCCCTCCCTGCCTGAAGCTCACTTTCTACCACGTTGAGCAGGCGAGAAACAGTGCCATCGCTGGTCTTCTGGGCGCCCAGCTCGCTCATGGCCACAGGCCCCTCTCGAACTTGGCCGAGGGGCCTCACCTACCTCGCCTGCGTCAGCTCCTTCCTCCTCTCAACTGCCTGCTTTTCTAACCCAGCTGGGCAGTGGCTGGGGAGCTGGAGAGAAGGTGCTCCGACTCTGGTCTAAGCTCCTAGCATGACACCCCTGAAAGTCTCCCAATTATACCACCAACCTGTTAAGCTCCAGTGAGGAGGGGGCAGGGGAGGGGCAGGGTGGGGAGAGGTAGGAAGAAAAAGCCCTCTCTTAATTACTCGTTGGATCAGGTGGGAGAGAGCCTGGCTTTCCCATTGGCTGCTGGGCATAGAATAGACATTTAAGAAGAGTACTCCATCCAAATTATCAGGCTTTTATCTTGTTGTACCTGAAGAGGTCTAATCACTGTTTTGAGGACCATTTTCCCATTAATTAAAATTGTTCCAGGCCCAGACTGCAACAATCAGGCAAATCGTGTTTGTGTATAAATCGTGGCATGTGGCACCTATAGGAAAGGGGTCCCGGGGCGAATCTGCAGACTTCCGGCCGCGGTCAGGAGCCCACACCCCTCGGCTACCCGCGGCCCCTGCATGGAACAGCAACACGAAGGGAAGGGCCGAGGGCGCCGTGCCAGGGGTGTGACGGCGCCCCAGAGAGCGCGGGAGGACGCTCCGCGGCACCCCCTCCATGGCCAGAGACCCAGGGGGAAGGGAGGGAGCTAAGCCCTCCCTCCCCGAGCACCCCTGCCGCTCCTCTCCTTCCTGAGGCACCCCCGCAGTCAGATCCCCAAACCTGGTCCTTTCTCCCTGGAAGTCAAGGCCCCAATTTTGTTTTGAGTCCAGCCCTCGCCAAAGGGAGGGAAAACCCCTCACTTAGCATCATATTACTCTCTCCAAGGAAGCAGCGTTCTCAGTGAGTGAAAATAAGCGGTTTGCATTAGTATGCAGAGCAACCTGGACCGAAGGATCCAGAGGGCTCCGCAGGGCTGTCTGGCTTCCCTCGTAGGCACTCCACGACCTCTGGCGTCCCGGGGTGAGTCCCCACTTCCCTGGGAAGATACCACCCGCAGGAGATGCTCTCACCATGGCACCACAGCACCAGCCGGGCACAGGCCCCTCCCAGCCCGGAGTAGATCTGGGGCTAGTTTTTCACTCATTACAACTGACAGGGGAGTAAAAGGCAAATAAAAGCAAAAGAAAAAAAAAGAGAGAGAGAGAGAGAGAGAAGATAGTCAGGTAAAGATAATACTTGACATGCATTCGGTGCCCAGTAAGTGCCAAGTACTGAGACACATCGTGTCCAGTGACAAACGGAACAGAGTAGCTGAGCCTTCGTGGAATTAACAATCCGACAGGGAAAGTGAATGAGGCTCCGCGGTGACAAGTCTATGCAGACGGTGTAACGGCACACGGCAAGGGGGGAAGACTCTGATTAGGGAGGGTTGCATGGAAAACCTCAGGGGAGCAGACAGCTCTCCTGAAACCAACGAGATGACAAACAAAGACACAGTGGAGAAGAGTCGGGAAGAGTTCCAGGCAGAGCGGGTCCTGGCCCGGACGCGTAGAAGAACTGCGGGGGCGGGCCCAGAACTGTGGGGGCGGGGCCCGAACTGCGGGGGCGGGCCCAGAACTGCGGGGGCGGGGCCCGAACTGCGGGGGCGGGCCCAGAACTGCGGGGGCGGGGCCCAGAACTGCGGGGGCGGGGCCCAGAACTGCGGAGGCGGGCCCAGAACTGCGGAGGCGGGGCCCGAACTGCGGGGGCGGGCCCAGAACAGCGGGGGCGGGCCCAGAACTGCGGGGGCGGGGCCCGAACTGCGGGGGCGGGGCCCGAGCTGCGGGGGCGGGGCCAGAACGTGGCTGCAGACAGTCGAGCGAGATTCTGTCCCGAGAGGGGCCTCGTAAGCTAAGCCAGGGACTGGGTGTTATCCGGCGTGAGACGGGAGACCGCCGGGGAGTGTTAGGAAGACGGCATGACACGCTTCGTACTTTTAAGTCTGATTTGTACACAGGCTGGTGCGAGGCAAGGCTGAAGTAAGGGGATTAGGAGGCTGTCCAGGTAGCTCAGGACGAGCGAGGCCCCCGTGGGCGGAGGCGGTGGCCGCGGGGACGCGTGTGAACCCCGACACACACCCCGGGCACACGTGCCGGAACGGCTCCAGGGCCTCCGCAGGGACGCGGCGGGGGAGGGGCCGCGTGCGACGAACCGCTGGCAGCCGCGGGGCTGTCTGCTGAGGTGCGGAGGCGGCCGCCAAGGCCCAGCCTGCAGCGTGGAGTCAAAATGTCACTTTTCTAGGCAACACCGAGATGGCTGTGATGGACAGAGCGATGGTCCTCCAGACGATGCCCATGCCCTCCACCCTGGCGCCCGTGAATATTATCGCGGGTAAGAAGGGATTCTGATGCTCGAAATCATGTGACATCGGGAACTGCAAATTAAACCAACAATGAGCTACCACGACCTGTTAGAACGGCCCAAACCCCAAACCCCAACACCACCAAATGCTGCCGCGGACGTGGAACGACAGAGACGCTCGTTCGTGGCCCGTGGGGACCCCGAACGCGGCAGCCACTTTGGAAGACAGCCCGGTGGTTTCTCACAAAACTAAATACCATATGATCCAGCAATCACTTTCCTTGACATTTACCCCAAGTTGTTGAACATTTATGTCCTCACAAAAACTTGCACACGGATTTTTAGTGGCTTTATTCATAATTGCCAAAAATTGGAAGCGACCAAGATGTCCTTTATAGGTGAAGGGATGAATAAACTGGGGTCCACTCAGACAATGGGATGCTCTTCGACACTAAGAAGAAATGAGCTGTCAGCCATGAGCAGACACGGGAGAACCGAAGTGCATATTACAAAGTGAAAGAAGCCCATTTGAAAGGCTACATACTGTACAGCTCCAACCAGATGACATTTCAGAAATGGCAAAACTATGGAGAAGTGAGGGAGGAGGATGGTTGCCAGGGGTGGGGGAGAAAGAGGAAGAGGCATGAATAGGACTTTTCTGGCAGTGAAAATACTCTGTAAATTACCATAATGATGGATACATGTCATTACACATTTGTCCGAACCCACAGGAGGTACATCAGCAAGAAGGAGCCCTCATGAAAAGTATGGACTTGGGGTAATGACGGTGAATCAAGGCAGTTCATCGACTGTAACAAATTTACGATCTCATGCAGGATGTTGAGGGCAGAGGAGGCTGCAGGGGGGGGAGGGGCAGAAGAAGACATATGGGAAATCTGTATACGTTCAGCTCCATTTTGCTGTGAACTTAAAACTGCTCTAAAAACTAAAATCTATTAAGGGAAGGGGGTGGGGGCACTGTACATGTGACTAAATGAAAGATCCGGAGATGGGGAGATTATCCAGAATTGCCAGAGTGAGCCCAGTGTAATCACAAAGGTCTTTATATCACGGAGCAAAAGGACACGGGGCCAATGGAGAAGGTAGAAAGGGTGGAGCAGAGGTCAGAGAGGAGAGAAGATGCTACACTGCTGGCTTTGAACATGGAGGAGGGAGTCACAAGCCAAGGAATGTAAGCAGCCTCCAGGGGATGCAAAGGCAAGAAATGGATTCTCCCCTAGAGCTTCCAGAAGGAACAGCTGCCAACATCGGATTTTAGCCCAGTGACACTGATTTGACTTTGGACCTCTCGAACTAGAAGAGAAATCTGCGTTGTTTTAAGAGACTAAAATAACAGTTTGTGGCATTTTGTTACAGCAACAATAAGAAACTAACACAAAGACCAAAGACACGCATCCAAATGGAGATTTCAGAAAGGTGCTGCTTAGGGCGCCTGGGTGGCTCAGTCGGTTAAGCGTCCAAATTTGGCTCAGGTCATGATCTTGCAGTTGGTGGGTTCGAGCCCTGCGTCGGGCTCTGTGCTGGCAGCCCAGAGCCTGGAGCTGCTTCGGATTCTGTGTCTCCTTCTCTCTCTGCCCCTCCCCCGCTCACGCTCTGTCTCTCAAAAATGAATAAATTTTTAAAAAATAAAAAAGGCACCACATAGAATCATGGCACAAGTGTGGCTCTGAGCTTCCTAGCAGCCAGTGCAAAGAGGGGGAATGCAATCTGGCAACCATTACACTGTGTTCCTAAAATATAAACAGCCCATTTGCCTGTGACAACACTTTCCCATGAATCTTTATAAAGAAAATACTGTGTGATACAGTGAACAAGATTTCCCCAAAAGAGTCCATAACGCTAGCAAGAAGAAGATCCCTATTTTCAAGGAATTTAACAATCTACGAGGGAGAAAGAGCCACATGCCCTAGGAATTCTAACAGAGTGTGCACAGTGTTTTGGAAGTACTGAAAAGGGAGAAAAGGAGGAAAGAATAGTGTTCTTTTCTGTCAATTATGTCTCAAGCCATGTGCTCCCGAAAACTAGGTCAGCTCTTGAGTCTCTTCAACTGGGGGGCCCAGGAGAGAGTGGCTCTGAGGGGACAGCACGCACAATGGCCATGGGGCAAGTCCCCGGACAGGGTCCCCAAGCAATAAAAAATGGTGGCTCCCCTCTTGGCCTCTTTCCAGGCTGTGCCACCTCGGAAATCTGTATTATATTAGACACCACACGAAACTGCTGATACTCAACATACGTTTTACCTGAAAAAAACAGATTTCAGATGGCTCAACCTAATCCTTGGATTTAAACTAAAATAAAATGCCTTGGCTATATACTAATACCATCTATATAATAATAGCATTTTACTTGGATAATTGTTTTCTAGTTACTAAGTGTCTTATTATAGATGATTTTGAGAAATATAAGCAAGAGAATAAACACCACACATAAACTCAACACCCAGAGAGGACGTCTGTTAACAAGCCTGCCGTAGATACTTTTTACTTACAAATATATGCAGACTTTCTCCTTTAAAAAATGGGATTTGAGGGGCACCTAGGTGGCTCAGTTGGTTGAGTGTCTGACTTCGGCTCAGTCATGATCTCACGGTTTGTGGGTTCGAGCCCCGCATCAGGCTCTGAGTCTGACAGCTCGG